TCCAACCTGGAGACAGTAGCAGAACATGTGGCTGGGGCTGCCCAAGGACAGCCGTAGATGGAGAAGATGAAGCATGTGCCAGTAAGGTGCAAAAAGGAGCTTCGCGTAAAGGTTGAAAAGTCAGGGGTTAGCAAAGACATCACGAGGAGCGTTCTGCAGAGGTGGACAGTCAGGAGGAAAGGATGGGGGAGCTCAGGCCAGCACAAGTGCGCCTGGTGGAACCAGTACGGACCAAGGCCCGGAGAGCAATAACTGGGCTTCATCACATCACGCAGCACCGCAGCAGCACTGCGAATGCAGGAATGTAACGGTTATATACCAGCGTGCTTAAAAATAAAGAGCCAAAGAAAAGCCATATGCATTAGCAAGGTCAGGACCAACAAGAACATGGAACACAAACAGCCAAAGCCATTAGCAAAGGGAGGCTCCAAACCACAAGCTGTCGCAGGTGGCAAAGCATCAGGGAAGCACAACCGCCTGCTTGTTCCGCTCACACGCTCCCCTTGGCACCCGCAATCACCTCTTGGTGATGGGCAGCTAGACAGGGCTGCTGGCCAACGCCGTCCTGCTGGGGCCCTTTCTGCTCTGATTAAGCATTTTACACACCTGTGGGAGCTGAACTAATGATCGAGAGAAAACACAAATGGTAGTTCAGTGAAAGGAAGACCACCAGAGCTCGGGAACTAGGAAGAATGGGGGAAAGAAACAGAAGAGATAAAGCTTGCAATGCTGTAAGAGAAGGCAGAGAGTGAAGATGAGCAAACGATGACAGCTTGACACTTGTTTTACCTACAAAGAGCCAAAAATACTTTTCAGGGAACTGAAAACAGTAACCAACCCTGCTCCCCAAAGGCCCGAGGCAGGCGAGCAGCTCATTAAGCTGTGTTGCTCAGTGCTGCAGTACCCTACTCTGCATGAGGTGCAGAGGCAGCACTTTACCTGCCAGGTCATCAAACACGTTGTAACCCAGATCCAGAATTTCCACTTGGCTCTCATGGCATCTGCTAAATACTTTGCTGCGTGATCATCAAATTCATTTCCCGAAAGCTGAAGGGACACAACTGTAGCATTTTCTAGAAGCACAGCGGAAAAGGCCTTGGCTCCTTCAACGCTTAATTTGTTGTCAGATAAATCAACAGCTGGGGAAAGAAAAAACATTATCAGATCATCAAATCGTACCAGCAGCTGAGCTCTACGCTGCAAGGGCAGACTTGGAAAATAAGAATGATGAACCTGGTCTCACACAGTATTTTAGTAGGAACAACAGAGCTTAGTTTTTGAATTCACAGCCTGTCCCCACGATGGGCTCGCTCACATTTTGCCACACGAGACAAAAGTGCTCCTCGTACATCTGTGCTTCCCACTCCAGGCACAGCCTACGCTCAGCTAAGTTATACCGGGTTTCTTGGTTCCTCATCACAGCTTGAAAAAAGGAGTGTAGGCAGGGAGAGACAGCGAAGCTAAATGTAAACCAGGAATGGATGTGAAGGCAGACACCGAGACCCAAATGCGAAAGCATGAACCTCTCTGCCCACCTACATACGGAATGAATTTTCCTAGCACAGAAGTAACAGAACCCTAAAGCTCTAATACCAAATCCAACCACTAGTGACAAAAATGAGGAAATCCCATGTTAACGGGGGTTTCACAGCACTGAACTTGTCCCTTTCATCCACGATGGCTTCCCGACAAAGCCTATGGGTTGCCTTAGTTACAGAGTTGTGTTCTCAGCTGTCTAAACTGACCTGGCTCTCTGTGGATAAAACAGATCCTGCAGTGCAGCAACCAGCGTGACGCACGGTGAAGTTCTGGCTGTATCCTGGCAGGGGCCTGGAGATGCAGACGCTCAAGGAGGTTGATGCAAGTGCTGGAAAATGCGACCCAGCCCCGTGATGGGGGCTCTTCACACAGGCGCTCAGCACAGGGGCTCCTGGGCTGTCTCTGCACTTAAGATCCTCGGGTTTGGCAGGGCTCGTTAGGGCTTCCGCTGGATCCCACCGAACTGCCTTCACTGCACCTCAGCCCTGCGGGGCCAGCGCAGGACCCTGCCACCCGTAACCCACAACCCACGTAACCCGTCCACGCGTGACCGGGAGTTGCTACTTAAACTATGCAGGCGGGAATCTCGACCCTGGAGAAGCAGGGACTAAAACCACGACCTCTAGACACAACGCTGCCTGACCGAGACTTAAATTTGGGAAGCGCTGCTCCGCTTCTCTCCCTGTAGCATCTGTAGCGTAACACAGTAGTGTGTAGTGTAACACTACAGAGGCATGAGCTGCTCCT